ACGCTTTTTCAAAAGTAGTGTCTATGAGCCAGTTAGTGATCATTTTGTGAAATTCCTCATGATTTTTGAAACAAATAAAAAGAGTTTTTAAAATTCCAGAGACCTCAGTCTATTCTCCAAACTATTCAATCACAGCTTCCTACCAGCCCAAACTGACAAGACATTTTTACACTGGAAAGAAAAGAGAGTTTTTTTTTTTAAATCAGAGGCTTGTATAAAGTCCTTTACACCATTTGAGCAGCTGAAGTCATTATAATTCACAAATTCCCACTTCTTTCATTAATTACAGGCTTTGTGAAACCTTGGTTTACACATCTTGAAGCACAGGCTTTATCAGCTCATACAGCAGCCTTGATTCAAAACAGCTGATGTCACATTTTGCCTCCCTGTTTTCTAAGCACTCTGCACTGCCTCAGGTTATCTTAAAGCAGCATGGAGTACAGACATTAATACAGAACTCAAGAGGAGTGGGAGGTACACACAAAATTCATACGTTACATCAATGCAAGGCTTCAATTAATTCACTTCAACATGTTTCACAGACTTCAGTATTCAGAAGTAAACTGAATAAAATCTGTCCCTCAATCTCTTCAGTCTGTGACAGATGTAAGTGAGCAGAGGACACACTGGCACACAGGCTCTGATTCAGTTCTCATGTCTGCAGGTTTTGGACAAACATATCTGTATTTTATTGAAAAGTGTGTGATAGACAGATTCCCCAGATGTGAGACTGGCTGTTTTTGGCTGTTTTGCTTCCCTCACCTTACCCAGGTGTGAATAACAGGCTCTTGGCCTCCCCACCCAGCTTTCAGAGACAGTTGGATGAAATGGTTTCTGCTTTACTACTAGAAATTATCTGTTATTGTAAAACATGACTAAGACATTTATTCCAGTTCCAGCTTTTGCCGTTTTGCACTGCTGCTCTGGCATCAACAGTCTCCTGCAGTCTGAAGAGCTCTCATTCTTCTTTTTCTCAGGATCAACCACAGACATCATACAGGACCAAAAACAAGATCTATCACACAGTTTCAGTGACTGAAAATCAGATGGTGTGAATGTAGCAAGAAAAAATACTGTTAATGACACCAGTGTGATCCCTATGGAAAACAAAAAAAATGCAGAGCCATGCACTGAAACAGCAGGGCTGCTCAATCCTTCCCCAATCCAAGTGCCTTCCAATTTTACAAGTTCCATCCTCAAAACCAAGAGGCAATAAAAGACAAGCCTAGGTTCAGCCCTAACTAGACAAACTGCGTCATTTACTCTCCATAACCTTGGTTAGACGAGGCAACTTCCATCTGTGAGTTACCCTTGAGTCAAGCAAGGGTTCTCCAGGTGCGTCGGCGTCTTAAACAGCAGATGATCTTGGCCATGCAACATTTTGACTGTGGCGGGGTCCAGTAGAAAAGACTTGATTCCGAGATGAGTGAGATGTTCCCGTCTTCCTACATCGCTTTCCTTTTTTGTACTGTAGATTTGCTACAGTCAGGGAAGAACAGGAGCACACCCGAACTGTCCTCATACTGTCACCACCACAGATACGAGGTGCCGTTTCCATCTCAATAGTCTTGCCTTGTAAAAAGGGGATCCATTTTGGTCAGTTAACCTGAAGAAACGAAATTGCATCATCTCCTTCCATACCATGTCACAGACCCACCAGCCTCAGGTTGCTCTGCCTGGACTTATCCTCATGTACCTTGTCTAGCCTTATTCTCTCCCTCACTACATTTTGCACATGATCAAATCTAACGCTGAAAGACTTTACAGCTCTTTCCAGAATGTTGAGACATTGGAAATTGTCTAAATTTCTTCACAGACGTTTGAAGCCATGCTAGTCTTGATCTCACTTAGCTGTTTCTGAAGTGTCTCAGCTATGGCGTCACATAGCTGGCCATCATCATTAAGGTTCTTTTTGACTGGAGAATCTGGTTAATCTTGCTTCGTAGCCATCATTGAAGACACTTAGAGCAGTGAGAATCAAGAGACTCTACAGAAAACATAAAGAGGACAGAATAAACTCGTTCATCACACTTGGACACAGGGAGCCATCACTTTAAACAGCCATCACAGCACACCCCTCTCATCTGAATTATACTGACCAATTTAATCTTCCTGGGGGCACTAAGAATTTTTTAGGCCAGATGGTGCCCACCTAAGCAAGGCTGGAGTTAAAGCACTAAAAAACAACTTTCTCTTTGCTCTCTGCCACCCATCAGCCTCCCCCACCTGCCCCTAACCATGACAAAGGACCATCAAACACCTCACCACAAGTGGAGACACAGAATACAGGTGGCACAGAGAGAACACAATCCCCACCACTGGAGAACACTACTCAGAGTTTCTGATACTGGATGAGTTATAATGACCGGCATGACCTGCTAAGCACACTGCAATGACCAACAGAGTCACCACAGTCATCCCTCCAATCCACTGCACTCTCTGTCATCATTCCACCCACATATGGAGGAACTGGTGCATGCTGGGACTGAATTTTCACTCTCCATCTCAACCCGTCCACAAGTTTTGCCCAAAAAGAGCAGGGCACCCTCGTCTCTTTCTCTCCTGAGGCCACTTCAACACCGTCAGCAGCAGCCTTGTCCTTCATCCCCTCTGGCAGCACAGAGCACAGAATGTTCAGTGGGTGCTACCAATAGAAGCAGCAGGGTACAAAACACTGACAGCACTTTGTGATGTGTTCATGGTTCCTGCTATAGTAGAGACGGTGGTAACAACGGTTCTGAGAACACGAAGCTGGGAGCCAACATTTTTTAATAATCACAGCTCTTAGGTTTTTATTTTAATTACTGCTGGTTTCCCAATTTATTTTCACAGAGACATTTCACAGCTCAACTAAACACTGTGACGTGTTGAAAAACTGGTGTACAAATGTATTTCTAACCTAAATATCTGGTTTAACTGTTTACTTTTATGAATTAAAATAGCTGTTTTTCTTACCTTAGCATTAAAGTGTAAACACAAATCTGTTCCTCACAGAGTTTTTACGTGTAATGTGCTCTGCTATGTGCAGGTGTGGTTAATGTGATTTCTGTATTTAAAATAAGCAAAACATCACTGTTTTTCTTTATTGTCGCAACTTTTAAATCAGATTTTATGAGTCTCCTTAAGGTCATGCAACATTCATGAGCCTAACTGTCCCAGTTACAGTCAGAGCTTTTACTCTCCAACAAGGAGCTAGAATCCCTTTTTTTAATGTACATATAATTTGCATAAAGTTATTCCTGCTTGGTCTTAGTCTGACAGACTCCTCTCACCTCCACCACCATCTCTCCCTCATCTCATTTCATGTCTGTTCGGCTCTTTTAGTTTTATTCTGCTAGTTAATCTTACTCTCTTCTGAAAGACTTAGTTCTCTTAGTCTTAGTTAAGCTTGTAGTCTGCTTATCCAGACTGTTTGATCTGTTCAGATGAATCTTATTTTTCTATTTTGTTGTTAATCTTTAAAACATGTATTCTCTTTGTTGTTTCTGCTCTCGTGCTCCTGTAACACTCTCACAAGTCTTTAGATTTCATCTGTAACAATCAGTCTTCTCTTTATGTTTTCTAGATTTTACCATCACAGACATGTTTATGTTAGCCAGCCTCGTATAAAATGACCCAACAATACATATCCTGTAGTAAAAACAGGCAGAGTGTGTGTGTGTATATATGTGTGTGTGTGTGTGTGTGTGTGTGTGTATATGTGTGTGTGTGTGTGTGTGTGTGAGACTTGGCTAGAACAGGATTTACAGTGTGTGAAAGTGAGATAATACGGTAGAGTATATAAGCCTTCATAAACATTAACATGTATATATTGTGTGTATGTGTTTCCTACTGATCTTGTTGAACCCAACTGCAATAATTTCCCAATCAAATGAAAACCTCAGAAATGTAATATTATTTTTTCCTTATTTATATTTATGATACCTTATAACAATATTGAAAATGAATTCATTTTCAGGTTGACCATATCTAAAACCCTATTACATTATTGGGAAATTAATTATATTTACATTTTTTTTTCCAAGTGGGTGACACTTTTAAGGGCCCGGGTTCCCAAAAGCATCTTAGTATTCAGATCTTCTTAACTTAGAGAGAAAGTCGAGTGAGATGGACCATTTAAGAATCATCTTTGTGCTAAGATGCATTTAGGGGAACTGCCGAGAGCTGCTACCAAAGGGCTTCTACAGTGGTGTCCACAGAAATCAACCCAGCATGGAACAAGAGGAGCAGAAGAAGTGAACAGCCTTCAATGTTAAGATTTCCTCTAAGTTTGGCTCTGGTTTCTGTTCATACCACGAGATACACTGATCAGGCATACCACTGTCTGATCCACTCATACCAGCGCAACACACACTAACACACCACCACCACGTCAGTGTTACTGCAGTGCTGAGAATGACAACAATGACAGAGACCTGTTATTGATCGGATCTGAGTTTTAATAATATTAATGTATTTCATAAATGATTTGTTCATTTGGACAGATTCATAGATTTATTATGTATTACTTTACATATTACTATGTTATATTTATGTTGAATACTAGCTTCTAATGACATTACAAAGTGTTTTTGTTTGTATTTTACATCGTACGGAGACAAGAATTTCAGAAAAAAATCTTTTAGTTAAGCAAATAGCTGAGTGGACATCACTGCAGAGAAAAGCAAAAGTTCAAAGATTCAAAGACTGAATGGTGGGAAACTGAAACACGGCTCTGTTTGAATCTACTGACACGCCTGAAGTCTAAATATTATGCAGTTTCTATATTAGCTCTTCTTTATATGTGCTAAATTCAACACTGAATAAAGCACAAAGCGTAGAATATGGACTAAAATTCACATGATGTTACATTACCAGACAAAGTAGGACAAAAATTTAAATTTGTTTGCAAATAGACGATGATGACTGACAGAGAGAGTGAGAGAGAGAGGTGTGTCTGGGGGGAGGTATATGTGTGAGAGAGACAGAGACAGAGAGACAGTGATGGTGTCTGAGTGTGTAGTGAGGGAGTGATCTTACCTCAGTGTCTCCAGTTGACAGTGTGGACTCTTCAGTCCCTCACAGAGCTTCTTCACTCCTGAATTCTGCAGTTTATTCTCACTCAGGTCCAGTTCTGTTAGTTTCGAGTTCTCTGAGCTGAGAGCTGAGGCCAGAACTGCACAGCTTTTCTCTGTGAGACCTTTACCACGCAGCCTGGAAGAGAAATTATGATACATCAGAACACTTCAATCTCTCACACACACAAACATTAAAACATTAATCTTCATAAAAATGTTCTCTTAAAACACAGCAGGTTAAAATATAAACTACTGCACAAATGAACAAAACAGCATTAAGGCCACAAACAGAACTGGTGTCCTTATATTTATAGTTGTAGAATATAAATACAAGGTCAGGTGACGTATTGAGAACTTGACCAAAGTGATATTTTCTAAATGGGTTTTTATTATCGTTATACTGACTTTTTTTTTTTAACTTAATTTTTTTTTTTTAAGTGTTACAATGTTTCCATGAAAAAAAACCAAAAACAAAAAAACAGAAACAGAAAAAAAACACCCCTATAAGAGTACAAGTTATATCTATACACTCTTCAATCTTAATTATTACACAAATAAGCAACAAAGGGAATCCACTTCAAAATAAAAGTAGTCAATAACATAAGAAAAATAATGAAAATAATGTGAGAACAGAACATGGTTGTCTAATAGTAAATAAACATAATTAGACAGTTATTAAAAAAATAATAAAATAAATAAATAAATAAAAGATAATAATAATAATAACAATAAATTTCTCACTGCATTAGTAGATCCATAACAGGGCTCCATCTCTTCGTAAATGTATCTTTTTGAATCCTTAATAAGTATGTTATTTGTTCCATTTGGTAGACATCCCACACCTTTTGGATCCATAAATTATATGTGGGAGGGTCTGGATTCATCCAATTAATTGTAATACTTTTCAGAGCTACCGTTAGTCGTATTCCTAGAAGGTATTTCTTAGATCTCCCCTCTAAGTTATCCGGTATTACTCCCAATATTGCTACTCTAGGATCTTGTGGAATATTCTGCTGAAACACTTCCTTAAGCGCATCAAATACCTCGTTCCAGAATATCTGTAACTTAGGGCACAGCCAAAATATGTGGATATGGTTACCAATTTGTGCTCCACAATTTCTCCAACATGAACTGTTATGTGTTAAACCCATCTTCAACACTATTTCTGGCGTTCGGAAATATCTGGTGATGACCTTCCATTTGAATTCTCTCCAGATGTTTGAATTGGTCACTAGACTTGCTTCGGTGCATATTTCGTTCCATTTACTCTGTGTTATAACCACATTTAGTTCTGATTCCCATCTCTGCTATATATTTAAGGAATTATTCAGGTTCATAGACATGAATATTTGATACAGTTTACAAATTATTCTTTCCCCTCCATTCTTCGTTTGTAATTCCATGAAATAATTTTCTACATGTGTAGGTTTTATAAGTTTTTCCCATTCTTTGTGTGTATTTAGAAAATGTCTCAATTGCAAATATCTAAAAAAGTGTGTTCTGGGGAGCAAATTCATTTTCAAGCTGTTCAAATGTCTTAAGGTTACCCCTGTCCAACATCTGATACAGTTTGGTTAAGCCATACTCTGACCATCTTTTAAACCCTGTATCCAAACTGTTGGGGATAAAGGTTTTCATATGTCCAATACTTGCTAACAGTGAAATTGTCTTGGGCAGCCTGAATATTGATTTTATTTTTTTTCATATCTTAAAGGTAACTGCAGTTACTGTCCCAATTCTTTTATAGGGGCATCCAAAAATGGTAAGACATTAAAGGGCACTGGACACATACTTTTATCGATATTAAGCCAGCGTGTACTTATATTATTCTGAATCCATGTTACCAAAGGCTTCATCTGTGCAGCCCAGAAATAATATTTTAAGTTAGGCAATTTAAGCCCACCGTCTGATTTGGATAGCTGCAATGTTTTAAGCCTAATTCTTGGACATTTTCTTTGCCATTTAAACTGAGAAATCAATTTATCCAAATTATTAAAAGTAGACTTTGGAACTTCAATGGGTAACATCTGAAATAAATAAAGCAACCTGGGTAAAACATTCATACGTATAGTTTCAATATGGCCTAACAAAGATAGAGGCAGTGTGGACCATCGGTCCAAATCTTTACTAATACAGCAAATTATTTTCTTATAATTTACAGCATAAAGGTTTTGTACAGATTTAGGGATGTGTACACCAAGATATTTAATACCATCTTTTGGCCACTTGAATCCACTCTGGAGTATTACACTTTGTGGTATTTTGCCATTAATATCCATAGCTTCTGTTTTTTCCACATTAATTTTATATCCTGAATAGTATCCATACTGAGAAAGTGTGTCTTTAAGTGTGATATCGTTATTGGTTCTGTTAAGTACAATAGTACATCATCTGCATAAAGGGATATTTTATGTTCTTCTTTATTTATTTCAATTCCTTTTATATTTTTATCATCTCTGATGAGCTGTGCTAATGGTTCGATGCTAATTGCAAACAGAAGAGGTTTAGAGCGAACAGCCCTGTCTACATCCGCGTTCTAATGTAAATTTCTCTGACCTACACCCATTAACCCTGACAGCAGCCTGTGGGTCTGAATAGAGTGTTTGTATCCAATTTATGAAGTTAGGGCCAAATTTAAACCGTTTTAGTGTTTGGAATAAATATTGCCATGATACACGATCAAAGGCCTTCTCGGCATCCAATGATATAATTATTGCTTCTTTTTCTTTATCTTTTTGGTAGGACATTATATTAAGTAATCTTCTGATGGTATCTCCATGGTATCTTCCGGTGATAAAACCAGTCTGATCAGGATGGATAATTTGAGTAATAATCTTACTGGCACGTCTAGCCAAGATTGCTGTTAAAATACGCAAATCTGCATTCAATAGTGATAAAGGCCTATAGGATTGGCATTCGGTAGGATCTTTGCCCTCCTTATGTATTATTACTATGGTTGCTTCTTTCCAGGAGGGGGCTAAAACTTTAAACTCAAACGCATGATGGTATGCTTTTAATAACAGGGGAGATAAAATATCTTTAAAGGTTTTGTAAAATTCATTAATAAATGGTCCTGGGCTTTTATTAGTTTTCAGATTCGAGATCACCTGCTTAATTTCCCATTCCTCTATTGGTTCATCTAATTCCTTGGCCATTGATTCTGTTAGTGTTGTCAAGTTTATGTCTTCCAAGAATGTTTCGAGTTGTATGTCCTCAGAACAAGTATCAGAGTTTTTGTATAAACATCTGTAAAAATCAGCAAAGGATTCTGCTATCTCATCTGGTTTAATACAAAATTTAGTATCCTTAGATTTTATTTTCTGCACTATGTTAGATGACTGTTGCTTTTTCAATCTAAATGCCAATAACCTTCTCGCTCTGTTACCATATTCATAATATTGCTGGTTAACAAATCTTAAGCTTCCCTCAACCTTTTCTGATAACACACTGTTAAGTTCTCTACGGGTTGCGCTAAGAGCTTTAATAAGTCTCGTTGAAGTGGTTTGTTTATGTTCCTTTTCTAAATCCTTTATTTTGTCCTCTAATTCCTGCTGTTTGGCATTCTTTTTCCTTTTTTTAGTGCATGTATATGAGATAATGCGACCCCGGATGTATGCTTTAGCACAATCCCACAATATAAGAGGTGATGTTTCTGATGAGACCTTAGTATCCAAATAATTATTAAGTTCTGTTATGATAAAGCTGGTAAATTCTTTATCGTTAAGGAGGGAAGCATTAAGTCTCCATTGTTTAAAGCTTGGTCTATGGCCTATATGCCACTTGAGTGCAATGGGTGAGTGGTCAGAGATAGTAACAGGTAGTATTTCAATGTCCATTACTCTATGCAACTCTAACTTGGGCGTGAAAAAGTAATCAATCCTAGAATAAGATGCATGCCTACTTGAATAGTATGTAAAGTCCTTATTTCTTGGGAATTTACTTCTCCAAACATCTACAAGGCCCAACTCGAGAGACTGATATTTAAGCATTTTGCTCATTTTAGAGAGGGGAGTTTTCGATTCAGGCTGTCTATCCATGCGTTGTGACAAAACACAGTTTAGATCCCCTCCCATCAATAAAAGTCCAGCGCTATGCTGTATTATATTGTCAAAAATTATTTTGATAAATCCAGGTTTATCTTCATTCGGTGCTTATACATTTACCAGTATATATCTCCCTTCAGTGTCTTTATGTATTAATGTTGGTGTGAAATTTATTTGTCTATGTATCAGGATGGATACTCCCCTTTTCCTCCCTGAGTGGTGTGAAGAATAGTATACTTTATCTGCCCAGGATTTTTTAAGCTTATCATGTTCATCATCGGAGAGATGGGTTTCCTGTAGAAATGCTATCTGACAATTCAGTTGCTTTAATTGGTTTACTAGTTTCTTTCTTTTGATAGGGCTTTGAAGTCCCTTAACATTATAGCTTATAATTTTAAGTGGTTCCACTGTTTATATTTCAGAGGTTGTGCCCTGACCTATTAGCGATGGAGAAGTATAGCTGTGGGTATGTTTTCCTGCTATGAGAGAGAAAAAAAAAAAAAAAAAAAAACACACGTATACATTATCTTCAGAGAAGTCCATTTAAAAATCTGGGTAAGGAAACACTGAAGTGATCTTATTATCCTTATTCTTAACGCATGATCCTGGGGGAACATTAGGATCAGAACACGTAAAACAAAAAAACAATTCCAGCTTGAATTTGCTGTCATGCTTAACAGGGATGTGGGGTCTAATCCCGGCCTGCAAAATTAGCAGGCTATAAGGGCACAGTCTAAATGGAGTTTGACTGTACTTATGTGTGCTAAGATATAGGAGATACCAGGCACTATTCAGACCCCCGCAGGATATCTTACATATGAGACATACAGCAGAACTGTCCACTCGACACTTTTCCGGACTACCTGTAAATGTCTGGCAATAAGTTCAGAAAAAAGTGTCTAATGGGTGATGCACGGCACACACCTGCGCTAGTCCTCCAAGTGACAGAGCACACAACTAGAATAATAATGATCTTGTCCCCACCTGTAAAGTTTTAACACTCCACAGGGATGAATCGCGTACCATCATCTGTGTGATTACTTTTCTTTTAATGTGGGTAAGAAAAGTGTTCCATTACTTCTCCGTCTCAGAG